CGGATCGTGCACATGTGATCAGAGTGCAGTAAACAAGGGCACATATCTAGTGGGTTTTTCGTTCAGTCTTTTTTATGACATCCAAGGACTGTGAATAGTGCTTCGATATTTTCAAGCTGTCACAAAAACTTCGGAAAAAAAAACTATAAAGCGGCACAATTTTGTGCCATAATAAAAAGCTAGGCACGGGTGAGACAAAAGGGGACCCTGAAACCCTTAGCCTATACCAGAGTTAGTTCAAGTGAATTTTGCTACCCTATACTAGACTAAACTTCCCAAATCCCCCCCTCTCCTATCCTAGAGTAGCTGTTTTCCAGAAACAACTGAGGTCACTAAGCACTGTCCAGTCAAAACAAAACCGATTCGATTTTTTTATATTCTTGAGTGGCAATTCCCGGTTTCCCTAGTCTAGACTAAAATCTTCAGCCAACTGACCAGTTTAAATGGAAAATGATACCCTCTTCTAGACCCAAACTCTCTGATTTATATATCCTATCCCAGAGTAAACTGCTTGAGAACCATACCCTTCACAGCGGCACATGCCTATATAGCCCATATATGGCAGTACCCCCCCGGGCTTTGCCTCAAATTGCCTTTGATGATGGAAGATTCCTTGAAATCACAGTATTATTACCTAGATATCATTGGATGAATTTTCACTTTAGATTTATAATTATTGCATTTTTTATTATTGCATTTTTTTTTAGTTTTTAGTAGCGTAGTATTCTTTTGTTTGTAGACGGCTAAGGAAACCTCTGTTCTGTCGTGAATTGTAATAATGTCGTGAATTGCAATACCTGTCGTAAATTGTAATAACAGTCGTCGTAGATTGTAATATCTGTCGTAAATTGTATTAACAGTTGTCGAGAATTGTAATATAATCAGGCTATCGTAAATTGTAATAACACGTTGTCGTAATTTCAGTGTAATAAGCCTAGCTGTCGTGAATTTTAATCAACACATTGTCGTATTTTGCCGATTTCTTAATGTCAAGGGCTTGTCTACTGAAATTTTCTTGTCAATCAAAAACATTTAAGCTATTATGTAGTCAGCATTATGGCAACAACTGAATCATCTCACCGACCTCCTGATAAACGTATTTGAAACAGTCAACCAACCAACTTTAATACTGCGAGCAGCTGCCTGTTACTTCCACCACATATTGATCATAGAGGCCATTAGAAATATTGTAGGGGGGTGGGGGTTAGAGACAGTTCGAACCGCGTAAATAGCACACGCAACATATTTTTTCATAGTTTTATTTCTGTGTTTCTAAGGATACTTTGCTTCATACAGACCATCTCTATGACTCTTGCAAGAAATCTCTCAATCTGGACTTGCTGCAAGGTAAGGGTATAAGGAAGAAATAACAAGACCTGGCTCTTTGCAAGTAAAACTTTTGTGATTTCCTTTGAATTCTTTTCCGTATTTATTCCTTGCCTTTGGTTCATTTTGTCTGCTCCACTGCATAGGCTTGGCATCCACTTTCTCTTTAGATTTAGATTTTCAGCTCCTTTTACATTTTTGATGTTAAGATTGTCATCATATTTGGTTATGAATTCATGAGCCTTACTGGCAGTTATCCTGCCAAGCCTATAATCTTCCCATTTGCTGGTTTTATGTTGTTGAACAGTAGTCTCTTTAACTACAGAGCATTCATCTGATGACAGCATCATTTTCTCTTTCTGTATTGTACACTTTTCTTTTGAATTAGCAAATGGGTAGTCATGATTTATCTCCTCGACAAGCTTTGGTATTGTCAGTAGCAGGCATCTGGTTTTGTCTTTCCACGTTTGCATTCATTTTCTGCATTTTTTGTTCCCGGCAGAATAAACATCATAAAAGGCAAAGAAGAAGAAGAAGGGTGTCCACGGGTGTGGTGTTTCTATTCATTGCTAAAATTTAACTTAATAAAAAATCATCTTTAAGTAATCTCATAGTTTTTATTGGGGTTTACCTACATAATAATTAATGGTTAGCGAATGGGCGCAAGTTCAGTTACCCAACGGTAAAATTATAATCTTTTCCATTTTTAAAGCAGAAGGCATGCAAAGCTTCTGACTATTCTCACTGCATACATAATTGGCCCGTAAAAAAAGTAATTCCTTAAAATTCCGTCGTGTTGGGACTGCC